TCATGTTACTCTTGCAGATATTATTTGTGCTTGTATTTAAAGGCTCATTTGGCTGCAATTACATGGATGCAGAGAATTTGATTGTAAAATGCACTGATAATTTCGTAGCACGTACGTCTTTTTTAAAGCATCGCCTTTCTGTAAGAAATAAAATCATTGCACTCACCTTTGATGATGGTCCGTTAGAATTCAGTACAACAAAAATTCTAAATATTTTACAGAAATACAACATCTTTGCGAGCTTTTTCCTTATAGGAAGTGTAATAATTGAAGATAAAAATAATTTAACCAGACTTATTTCTGATTCGGGCCATGAAATAGGCTGCCACAGCTGGTCTCATGATGACATGACTATGATGAGTGAAGATGAACAGATTAAGGAAATTAACTCAACAATCAGCTTAATAAAACGAGTAATTCACAAAAATGTCATATGGTTTAGGCCACCTTTTGGGTGCCTTGATGAAGCGTTAATTGAAACAAGCCAATTTCTAAATGTAACACCAGTACTTTGGTCGATAGACAGTTTAGACTGGAAGGGCGAGAAACCTTACGTTTTATTAGATAGGATTCTTAAAGATACAAAAAATGGAGATATCATTTTGTTCCATGACCACAGTTCAAGAATGAATACGGTAGAAGTTTTGCCAGAATTAATTGAAACTCTTATGAGGGAAGGATTTACTTTTGTAACTCTAAGTGAATGGAAAAAGCATATTTGTTCTGTTAGCAAAGCAAGCCACTTTAAATGAATCTACCATTCTTCTTTTTCTTATATGCAATATTTATGTTAAACAATGTAAACTTATTTCACTGAAGCTTCAGTTTCTATATTTGACTTTATATGAAAAACTTCCAAATAAATTATTAGATGTTCAAGTTTTTCACAATAAAAATGTTTCTGTTTGATTAGTTGTATCTCTTGCTTTTGAAAACACAAGAAGTTTTAAAAAGCTGTTTTATTATTTTTCATTGGTCCTTTCATAATTCATCGTGAAGCACATCCCTTTTCTTCAAATATTGTAAATTGCTGATGGCCAAGTGGTCAAGGGACCCTCTATGAAGATTCATGATGAAATGCACAGATAAATCACTAAAAAAAAGCCTATCACTTCTTGTAGGCCGCCGTAAATTCCAACTTTTGTATGATTTAAAATAAATTACCAGCTGGCCTTCGAGATTCACCCAACAGGGTTGGCAGTGGGTTCGACCTCGGTCTTAGCCTTCCAGCCATCGAAGTTGGGCTCCAAGTCCCTAAAACCAAATCCATTCACACTTTCATTTATTCTTAAACACAATCTTTCATATTTACATACCATTTGCTCAGGAGGGTGGTGAAGTACTCGATATTCCTTCTTTATACCTGTTTCATATGTAACCTGGGTGGTTGATGGGGTTCTCAATATTCCACCATCAGCCCTCTCACAGTACACGTTCTCGCTAATAAATACATTCACATGTTAGGGACACAAAACTATCAATACTATATAAATAAAACAACCATGTTTCCTCCAAGATTGGAACAGGCCAGAGCAAGCTTTCTCTACGTGCTTGACACATGCTTTGGCTCAAAAATAGGAGTTCATGTATCAATCTCAAATGGCTTATTCTTAATCAGGTGAGTATGACCTTTCTACTAGTCAAATCCTCTAAGGATTTGGGGTACTTGCTGCCAGTTCATCAGGTTGCACAGATGACTGTTAACTTTTGACTACCGCCTCCTCACATATGTTCCTTTTGTGTATTTGGCTTTTGTGTATTTTGTTTTAATGTATTTGGCTTAGTTTTGCTAGAGTAGGTACTGTCATTTTTATTCAGCATTACATAGTTAAATACATGACTAAGTTTACACATTCATGTTGTTGCAACAAAATGGCCTAACCTCTATAAATATAAAATATACACTATGTTATTTAAAGTTCTTTATTGTTTCCGATGTGTCTCACCTAATTGAAGGGTGCAGTTCCTTGGCCCCATATAGAGAGTGTGCAGGAATGTTACCCTATTTGAGAATTGTGATTGAGCGCACGGCAGCAAGTATTTGGGTCCCCTGTTCTGATTCTTGGATGAAATTGGGTATTGAATATAGTGTAATAATAGTTTTCCATACCTAGTTTGTGTTTAGAGCGAATGTATTTATTAGCATGAATGTGTAATGTGAGAAGATCGATGGGAGAAAATCGACCCTCAATTAGGTTAAATGTATAATATGGGTAAAGGTTGAGTTAAGAGTGAATGTATTTATTAGCATGTATGTGTGATGTGAGAGGGTTGATGGCAGAATATCGAGCACCTCATTGACCCTCAATTAGGTTAGTTGTATAACATGTGTAATGTGTGATGGCAGAATATAGACCCTCAATTTGTTTAGTTGTATAATATGTGTAAAGGTTGTGTTAAAAGTGAGTGTGTGTATTAGCATGCATGTGCGATGTGATAGGATCGATGGTGGAATATTGAGAACCTCATTGACCCTCAATTAGGTTAGATGTATAATATGTGTAAGAGGCGATGGCAGAATATCAACCCATCGACCCTCAATTAGGTTAGTTGTATAATGAGTAAAGGTTGTGTTAAGAGTGAATGTATTTATTTGTGTGAATGTGAGAAGGTCGATGGCAAATATCAAGCACCTCATCGACCTTCAATTAGGTTAGTTGTATAATATGCATAAAGAGCCTTTTAGACCTTCCATCCAGGGAGAATATCCGCTGTTGGCATAGTTTTTTTCCCCAATCTTTTCTCGAGGATCTCAAGCCAACACAGTCACTCTCTCTGAATATAGGTATTTTTAATTTAAGTTAAAACAAAAAATTGAGAGATTGTCATTGAAGAAAGATGGCAAATGTAGATGCGAAACCATTTGAACTCTCTGAATCGGTTCTGGGGTAGTAGTGCAATTGGTACGCTCTACAACTCATGTGCTGTGGAGAATGTTTTCCATTTCATTGTTGTTCTGTTTTGGAAGTTTACCCAATCAAAAGAAGTACTAATTAAATTATTGAATGGCTCAGATGCCAGAGCTGTCAGTCTATATGCCCTTCAAGTTTGGACCTACAGGTATGACTTTGTTCATGGGCAGTCAGGTTAAGCCACAGCAAGTAAATTAATTTGTAATGTACTGCTTCCATGTAATAATATACTAAAGAAAGTTTGTCTTTATTTATCTTTATATTCATCATTTATAATAGTATTTTTTGGTAATTTTTTTAGGCCACTATTTATAGGAAATTATAAATATATAGGAAATCCTTCTTTGATGACAGATTGTAATGAGCTCTGACAGATGGTTGAAAACCATGTCGTATATACTTTGGATGTAAACAAGTTTCACTGGTCTAAACTAAATTTTTAGCAAAATAATAAAATATTTTATATTCTATATTATTTACAAAACTACATTTGGGAAGCGGGTAGGGTGTTCTTAACTTCAACATCTTCCCTCCATTCCTGCTAATAAATACATTCTTACAAGTAGAACCTTTCAAGCTTTAAGTCTAGAATTTTTTAACTAAACACACTAATTTTATGCAATATATTTCAGTTGTATTTCAGAGTTCAATTAAACAAAATAGCAAGCTCTGAAGAGGGACCAGGATGTGCCCCAAAAGCAACTGAAATATATAGCATAAAAATAAATTGATTTAGTTAAAAAAAACAATAATTGATTTAAAATATTTTACCACCAAATTAAGTTAAAATTAGTAATTATTCAGAAACGTGAGATGCGGTCTGGTGTGATGTAGGTTTCAGAAAAACATTTTCTTTATCGTGCCAACGTTTTGATCTTTATTGAGATCATCTCTAAACACGCAAGAATGGCACAATTACACAGAAGACCAACACTTTGAGCCCTGAAGATGATCTCAATAAAGATCGAAACGGCACGATAAAGAAAATGTTTTTCTGAAACCTATATCCCACTAGACCGCATCTCACGATTTCTGAATAATTATCGATTAATGGTCACAAATCACCACACGTTAAAATTAATATTTAAAAAATTGAACTTTCAAGCCTTATGTCCAAATAAAAGTTGGGTAGTCTCTATGAATTTAATATTACTTGGTGATACCCCTGCCTAACACATTGTACATGTATATATACATACTAACTAGCCTATATAAATTGACAGGTCCATGGGGTATTCTATTCTCCTTCCCCATATTTGAAGTGAATATTTGCAGTGGGCTCTGCTTGTCTTTTGCCAATAAGGTGGTGCCAGTGGGTTAACCATGTAAAGCTAATCCTCTGGCAGGTCTACACTATTCTATCTTTTTTTAAGATTCTCCATGGTTTATGGCTTCACTGTGCATTTGATAGTTTTTCGGTCTTAGTCATCCAACAAGTTTGCCAATTATCCCAACTGATTCTTTTCATCTCGTATTACATCTGCTGGGCTAATGGGAATCTCCAGCCATGTGGCAGCAGCTTGATTAACTTCTAATGTTCATACTAAATTTAGTTTCAGTATATTTATTTTTATCCACACTATATTGCTCCATCACATGTAGATAGGTTAAGTGAGGACTTGCTTGGTTGTATCCAACACAAACCTGGATTTGAAACAGTACAAGGATAAAAATTTTCAGATAAAACGAACAAGAAAAGTGAAAGATGATAATCCAATTTCCTGAAATGAAGATATAGCTAGTAACTATACTATTTCAACTAGAAACTTGTTTAATAATTTAATAGTTCTAACAAACTATTCTATATCCTTCTAGCAACCCTCTTACATCATACATTTATGCTAATAAACACATTCACTCACACACGTACACACTTCAGAAAATACTAAAAAATATGTTAAATGTTTTATTTTTTGCCAGTTTTATAGTTTTTGATTTTATTTACATTATACATGAAGCTTAGTAGAAAAACAGGCACCTCAATCAAATAATACGGAAGGATATAAAATTTACTTCACCATATTAACACAAAAAAATATATTTGTATAATCACTGAACAAAGTTGAAATATTCAATGTATCAACACCATGTGTGTAGACAATTTTAATAAAAACATGAACACATAAAAAGGTTTTTTTTTCTTTAACAAAATCTCTTTGTGACAAATTCCTTCAGTAAAATTAAAATACATTTGGATTTAAATATATTTGTTGTTTTTTTGCTTTGTTTTTTTCGGTTCACAACAATAGAAGGTTAGGGACAACATTGAATATTATTGCAAGATCTTCTTCAGTCATGGGCATATCATCGAAAAAAAAATCGTCATCTTCTGCATCCCAAGCGAAATTCATGAAAGGCGGCATGTCAGGATTGTCTTCGATATCGACACCTTGGAACAATTGGTTAAAACATGCAGACTGTGTGTCGTCAAAATGCCTGTAAGGTTTTTCTGGATCCAGTATAGAAAGGCATATCCAACAGAAGAATATTTTGCATTTTGTACAGGCCATTTTATTACAACCATCCATTTTCTGAAGGGAAAATACAAATAAATAAAACATTTCACTGATATAAGAAGTAAAAAAAATCATACCTCAATAGCTGCTTTACAGTTGGGACATAACTTGCTGTTAGTTTTTATCCAATTTTCAGACTTAGCAATATTTATGTAAGAAAGAATCTCTTTCTTACCATAAATCTTTTCAAGACGAAATTTAGTTTGTTCATCCCCTTGTTCATACTCATCCATTATAGCTATAATTTTCTCTGAAAATATTTGCATATATGAATGTACAAATACGTAAAATTGATTTAAACGTCTTATTACCAGCTTTCAATCGGCACTTCTCGACGCCATGATAAGTCATTTTACAGTGGACGCAAAAAACATACTCGCATTTCGGGCAAGTTGCCATTTTCTCTCCAGTATCCCTCATGACGGGGCACCCACAGAAAGATCTTGGGCAGTATGTTATATCTACCATCGTATCAAGAGTAGCGTTGAGAAGTAAATTATCATATTTGAGATAAAGTTTACTTCCAACAGTCTCTTTAATCTGGATTAAATTAAAACATTTATATACAATTTATTATGGCAATTCAATATTTTTCCTAATGATTTATCAATTCAAGTCAACAAACCTGGTGCTGCTGCGCTTCCGATTTGCATTTAGATTGAGGGCATGGCATTGAATTGACCTGTCCTTCGCTGATACGAACCTCAAAATATTGCTGGAGACATTGCTTGCAGTACACATGATTGCAAGGTTTAAACTGAATGCATTTCTCGCCTAATTTATCCTGAAAATAAAACAAATATTTAAGTTGAAAAATGATTGTATATTTCACAAAGTTGTTTCAAAAATGTATATTATCAATTATTTAATGAAATTATTTTTTACCTCATAACAAATATCACAGGTGTAGAGAGTCCTCAGAAATTCAGTTCTTGATTTGTCTTCATTAAAAGATATTAAATATTTATGTAGATGTGTGTCTACTAAAGGAACTGTAATTATCCGTGAATCTTTATTTACAAAATATCTGTTTATGTGCAATTCCTTGTTGCTTGTTGACAAATCTTTAATAGACTCTTTTCTCTCAAATGAGGTTGTCTGCCTTGGCGTTTGCTGGTTGTTTATTGTGTCTAAATTTTGATTAGCGTTTCTTTTTTGTTTTATGCTAAACACCCCCTTCCTCCTCAATTCGGACGAGTACTGACGACATAGGTCGAGATTGTTTGACATTCCCAGATATTCTAACAAATCTTCTTTGAGAAACTGAGTCCATATGTACAATATTACTGTGCCCCTATTTTCCTCCCACAATTTATCCAATTTTTCGCAGACTTTATTCAACTGTAAATTGCCGAAATTAATGAGGGAGAAGAACAATTTATCAATGAAGGATTGAACTTACCTTCGTTATTGACAGCCAAAGACAGGAAATTTGGTATTCCGGTTTCTCTTCAGATGGATAATTAGCCGGATATTTGAATGTTAGTGTTATTGGGGGCAAATGTGACAATGGTACTTTGACCGACTCGTTTCCTGAAACGTAATAGTGAAGAATGATCAACCCACAGAGGAAAAACACATACAATGATAAAGGATCAGGATTATGACCATTATATGATCCTTCATCATCATCAACAAGTACAATAGTTGTTTTCAATAATTAAAAATAATTTTATATTGTGAGTGATAAATTTAAAACAGATAAAGAATTCATTTAAAAGCCCTATCACTGTGATTCTGGTCACATCATCTCTTTTTTCTTCTTTGATTATTTTTATTATCACTGAATTTTTTTTTACAAGTGTAAATAATTTCTTTACAAAGATGTTAATTTAAAAAAGTTGAAAAGTAAAAGAAACTCACCTTCACCATAATTCTTGTATGTTATTACAAAATCGTGAGGAAGCGTTACAAAAGCATAAAACTGCCCTCCGCTGTAATCATCCTTGCTTTCAAACTCTTCTTTTGTATATATTGAGCTAAGTACACAAATTTCATCTTCCTGGTCTTGTAAATTCACATTTCTACTCATTTTCAATTGTACAAAAATAAATAGTAATTGTATATTTTATTGTTATTGTGTTGACTGAAACAGAAAGCGGGTGGTTATATAAATTATTCTGGGATTTAAAAAAAAGAAAAAAAAAGGAAATAATCTCAATTTTGTTTATAAACAATCTTTATTGTACCCACTGGTCACTTAAAGTTTTGAATTTAATTACTAAATAAATTATTTAAAGGTAAACAAAAGCTCAATTTAAATCTTAAATCATTGCATAATATAATAAAGAGGAAGTAAATAAAAACTGACATTTTGTTCAACAATGTTTTTTTCAACAACAACTTTTTCTCACTCCCTCAGTTACATAACTTTAGATAAATATACAAAGAAAAATACAACTAATTATGGGCATTGAATTTTTATTCAATAGGCAGAAATTAAAAGACATTTTGTTGTAAAAAAATATATCAGCATTTAGGGCATTAACACACTAGCAGTCAATAGTAATATTTAATTTGAAGGATCTAACTTTTACTTTTATAACTTAGGGAAGAAAAAAAATTATAGAAATTTCTTCTGGCGGTCTGAGGCATGTAACTGGTAGTTTTCTATCATTTTGGTCTGCCTATCTTCCTAATTATCAATTATCAACCAAGTAACACGTCAAATGAATATCTGTTAAGAACCTGAAGTTAAAACGTACCTAACAAAGTGAAGGCGAATCAATGCATTATTAAACTGCTGGCAGTTGCATAAATATTCATCCTGACTCGTGCATTTTCACATATTTGATAAAACATTTAAGACAATACAAAAAGTTACATCTCAGATTGTCCTGATTCACCCATTTACACACAGTAAAATATTGACAAAACATGCATGATAGTTGAATTGTTATATGTCTAATAATCCATCAAAGTCAATAAAAGTAGTCTTTCAAATACAGGCTTCAGTTGGATGGATTCGACCTTTGATGATGGAGTTCCATTAAAAGACTACACTGAATCTAAAGAAAATTGATCATCCACTTAACTCATAATTAAAATTGTTATATGTGCCTGTAATGCTATATAAAAAAACAAAAAGAATGAAGATGAATTGCTCCATATAGAGAGCACATAGGAATGCCACCCGATATGAAAGTTGTACTTGAGCACGGCAAAGAATATTTAGGCCCCTGTTTCGATTTATGGAAGAAACAGGGTTGTTTTTACTACTTACTGATATATGTATTGTTTTGAGTGTGAATGTATTTATTAGTGTGAATGTGTAATGTGAGAGACCAACGTGCAGAATATTGAGTACCCCATAGAACTTCAGTTAGCTTATGTATATGTGTGAAAGGTGATGAAGGAATATCAAGTACTCATCGACCCTAACTGAGCAAATGGTATGTAAATACAAAAAAAATGTGTTTATGAGTGAATGGATTTGGTTTTATGGACTGATTGCATTGGGGGCTAAAATGACCTAGCTGTTGATAGCCCTTGGAACCCAACATCGATGGCTGGAAGGGTAAGACCGAGGTTGGAACCACTGCCAATACCTGGATTGGTTGATTTTCAAGGCCAGCTGGTAATTTATTGTAAATTATACAAAACCTGGAATTGCCGGCAGACTATGAGAAGTGATAGGCTGAACTCTATGTTTATGCACAGACATGTGCAGAAATGACCTTATAAAATCAATAATACATACAATGCTCGAAATACAATTACTGCTTAAATTTAGACATCTGATCATTCTGATTCAACCATTTAAAAACAAAACATGAAAGGACGTTGGTGGCAGTAATGGTTAATGTATTGACATATCGCTCATTACTGTAAGGTCCCGGCTTCGAATCCAGTGGCCCCGCATTCGAACCCGACATACTTACAAATGGGATTTTTTTTCAAAATTACCCTGACACCCTGAGGGTTGATATTGACCTCTGCTGTTGCGAACCCTTGTTAAAAAAAATATATATAATAACACTGGTGGCAATCAAACTGTTCATGATAACGACAAATTTACACCTCAAATTGACGCTTTAGAAAATGTTAAAAATATGGCAAAATAAATATACAATAGGTCAAACCCCAAGACACAGTTTGCATCATGATCAACAATCCATAATGTATCATCGCTGGTTGTCCCGATTAACACATGAAAACTCAAAATAGAAAAATGTCTGCTTACATCATCTCTAACGATACTGATCGACTCATACAGTGAATGATCAAGTTCATCAATTTACACATTATTTGATATAAAATAAGTGATGACTCATCACCAATAATGTAGAATCACCCCAATCAAACATCAGATGGTGTCTGCATAAAGACAGTTCAAAAACTAAAAGTAAAGTCTTGTTACATCACTATGTACAATAGATGTCTGATGATGGCGAAAACATACAAGAATAACCATACCTGTATTATTGAACTGACATGTTATATCATGACATGAACATAAAGGTTTAACTTTTTAAATGGAACATATCATGAACTGTTAAGTTTTATTCTGTTTAATATAAGACCTAGAGATTATTCCAAACGTTTAATTTTATTAGGTTAACGTTAGCCTAAAAGGGTAAATATTAAGTATGTCATAAATTGAAACGACATTGGGCGTTCGCGGGTAGAGAAAATTCCGTCCTATTAACAGATTATTCCGTAAATTTTAGAACAGTCACTAAATATGTTTGTTTTTAGAGAAAATAGCCGATTGAAAAACCAGGCTGACGCGAAAAAAAATTCGATTTTGTTTTCTTTTAACAAAAACAGTTGTTTTATGAACGGACTAAGCCTTACAGGTTTAAATGCGGATTGTGAAAAACACTAAGAGATAAGATACACATTTATTACTTGATACATACCTAAATATTGTGGATGAGTAGTCTGTCAGGCACTGAACTTGGAATTAAAACTATCTTGAAATTCTTGTTAAAATGTCTGTAAACAGAATTTAAAAAAATACTAGCGACAAACCGAAAACATGAGTACATCTATTGAAGAGACTTAATTTGACTTGAAAATACGTGAAATGTATTTTAAAAAGTTAATGCGGATAGACTGATATTAAATATTTATCCTAGCTATTTGAATACAGCAAGAAAAAGAAGTCAGTCTTTGATTTTGTATATTATAGTTTCTTTATTTCACATTTACAAGGCGGAACGCGTCAAATTGTGAGATACACAACAAGCCCGGCCTTTCCTTTTATTTTTAATAATTAAACAAAATCAACGTTTTTGTTTAAAAAAATAAACTCATGTCCTAACTAAAAATGAAGAAACTTTTAACTGTCACCAACCCACATGTTCTTTTTTTTGTGTTCCATGATTTTACGGTGTCCAACACACTCGGACAAAATTTCCCGCTTTTCCCGAAAAAAGTTCCCTTTATTCATCAACAAAATCAATCAAGAAAAAACATAAATAAAGCACATACAGCTATTAAAATGTATGCTTAATTTGTTTTGTAACAATTTTAGTTCAAATATTTAAATAAAACAAACTTTAAAGTGTTTTAAAATTGATCATAATTTTGTGAGACCGCATACCAAAAATACCATCTAATTTCAGATATGATAAGTTTACGAATATTCAAATTCTTACATTTATTTATTTTGATGGTACAACAAGGGATTTAAGCCTCCTTACATATACATATTTTAGAGATAAATTTATTTATGTCCCATCTAGCTCACGGTTGCAATTACTTGGCTCCTCATAGAGAGCGCGTTGGAATACCATCTGATAAGAGAATTGTGCTTGAGCACAGCAGCGAGTATCTGGGTCCCCTGTTCCTATTCTTGGATGAAATGAGGTTATTCTATTGAATATAGTAATAATGCCTAGTTTGTGTTGAGAGTGAATGTTTTTTTCAGCGCGAATGTGCGATGTGGGAGGGTCAAAGGCAGAATATCGAGCACCTCATCGACGCTGATTTAGGTTAATTTTAGGTATGAGCAGTTTAAAAATATTTAATTTTTTAATTTATTTGTTTTGATGGTACAACAAGGGCTTTAAGCCCCCTTATATACATATTTTAGAGATAAATTTATTTGTGTCCCACCTAGTTGAAGGTTGCAAATTACTTGACTCCATATAGAGAGCGCGTAGGAATGCCACCTGATTTAAGAATTGTAGATGAGCACGGCAGCTAGTATTCGGGTCTCCTGTTCCGATTCTTGGATGAAATGAAGTTGTTCCATTGTATGTAGTAAAAATACCTAGTTTGTGTTGACAGTGAATGCGTGTATTAGCGTGAATGTGTGGTGTGAGAGGGTCTACGGCGGAATATGGAGCAGGACCTCATCGACCCAAAATGTTAATTTCAGATATGAGCAATTTAAAAATATTTAATTTTTTAATTTATTTATTTTGATGGTAGAACAAGGAATTTAAGCCCCTTACATGTGCATATATTAGAAATCAATTTAGCCGAATCCCATAAGTAAACCTGCTTTTTAATCTCATCCAAGACTTCAGATTAAAAGTATAATTAATTACAATTAATTAAGGTTTTTAGTTGAGATAAAAAAGTCAATGGCATGAGCGGGATTCGAACCCACGATCTTCGGGTAGATACGCCACTGCTCTACCACTTGAGCTATCGTAACCTCGATCCACTCGGACAATAACTTCCTATCTCAACCCCACCTTTTGAATTTTCCCTCCTTTTTGCCATTTTTCAAATGCCGTGTAATCGGATTGGATTCTCGGCGACAAATGAAATGGCCACGGAGAGCTTTAGTGAAGTATACTTCATTTAAATTCAATAATTTCGTGGTCCGCTTGACCAATTAATATATTACAATATTTTATCTCAACTAAAAACCTTAATTCATTGTAATATATTAATTGGTCAAGCGGACTACGAAATTAGTGAATTTAAGTGAAGTATACTTCACTAAAGCTCTCCGTGGCCATTTCATTTGTCGCCGAGAATCCAATCCAATTACACATTTCAAAAATGGCAAAAGGGAGGGAAAATTCAAAAGGTGGGGTTGAGATGGGAAGTTAGTGTCCGAGTGGATCGAGGTTACGATAGCTCAAGTGGGAGAGCAGTGGCATATCTACCCGAAGATCGTGGGTTCGAATCCCGCTCGTGCCATTGACTTTTTAATCTCAAATAAAAACCTTAATTAATTGTAATATATTAATTGGTCAAGCGGACCACGAAATTAGTGAATTTAGTATAATTAATTTAGTTTTCTAAGCGTAGTAAAATAATAATATTATTATAAAATATATAAAACAATATTGTATATTGTTATACAATTCGTAGATGGCTCCCCGAGAACTTGAGCCAGAAACTAGGAATCGTCTATACCCGATTGAGAATAGGTCATCAGAGGAAGCCAAAAGAACCTTAATTATCAAACTAATAAAACCAAAAAATTTAAACAATACGATATGGAAACCATTGCCACTCTAAACGAAAACATAGAACAAATATTAAAACTTCAATAACTTTTCACTTCGAACCAACACACAGCCAACTCAGCAGCTTACAAAATCGCACTTAACCAATAAAACCTCAAAAAACTAGTGAACCAAGCAGTAGCACAAAATGAGACGACATAGCGTCCATTTGGACCAAAACCGGCGCAGGTGACCTTATGCAGAAAAATATCGCACGATGTATCCCATATAATAAAAACTTGTCATGTTAGAAAGCGATTTCTTATAGAGAGCGTGTAGGCATTCCACTGGATTGAAGAATGATTCTCGGGTACAGTAGCAAGTCTCTGAGATCCCTGTTGCGTTTTTAAGAAAACGCGTTGTTTTTTTAAAAATTGTATATAGATCTATTTTACAGGTTTTGTGATTATGTGTTTTGATTGAAAGCATGTATTTATTAGCGTACGTAGTGAGGGAATGATGGTGACGTATAGCGTCACCATCGCCCGGAAGGAGATAAGTGGAGATAGCGGAATATTTATGAAAGTACCTCATCGACCCTAATTTAGATTAGATTATTAATACTGTGCGTAGGTCTATGGAAGGATATCGAGAACTCCACAGACTATGCAGAATGAGTGAATGAGTGCAATGTACAGAATGTGTGAATGTATTTATTTGTGCGACGGACAGATGTTAGTTAGTTTTAGGCCAGATTATATTTTGCATGTGTTGGGGGGGGGGGCTGTAGACACTAGGGTCAGCACATCGGGTAGTGAATGTCTAAATAGTCATTTCAATATGTTTTGTATTTGTGTATTATATAATTTGGGATCTATTGGCTTTCGTACTTATATATATCTTAACAGAAAACGGCTAAACTTGAATATAATTATGCTTGTATGTTTTTTCTAGAGAGTTCTAGAGTTTTTATTTTTGTAATATGCGTATTTTTTTGTTTTGGATCTAGTTTTGATTGCAGTAGAGAAAATTGTTGCTCTTATTGGAATGTACATGATTTGTGTACTCTCCTCCTTTCGGTAAACTATCATCTTTATCATTATTGTCGTTTTTCAGTCTAGGTTTATGTGCTATCATTACGTTATTATAAGTGATTTTTTATTAATAATTGCAATTCTGACACTGACCACAAAATCTCACAAAGTCAGACCGCCAAACAGCTATTAAAATATGTAGACCATCATTGCATGTAAAAAGAGTGCATCAAAAATAATCAGCAAAAGATCAAAAATCTCCAAAACCTTGGATAAAGAAAATAAAATCAAATTGGCCAGAGAAGGATCTGCAAGACATAAAGATTCTAAATCAGCTATGCAAATTTTTCTTCTTTTATGGACTTAAGTTTCGTCCAGGAACACTAGTGTCATCAAAGAAAAGCCGCACTTATCCCCTCCGATGTTCATGTATTCCAAGCCGGTACAAATCAAAAGAGTGCGGCAATTGTTGCTAATTCTAATTTCGAAGCGGTTATGCTGGCAGATTAGGAATGATCGAAGTTAAATGCATAAAAGGTTTTACCATTTGGGCTTGCAGCGTTCATTTGAATGACAAAATTGAATTCAATGTGATCTAAGAAAGCTGGACAAAGTAATTAGTAAATTCTTTGAAAAAAGTTTCTCATTGTATGAAAAACATTTAAACTTTCTTTTAAATCTCGTGATTCAGCCTACAATAAATATAAATCTACCAGGGACCATTGGAATTATCTAGGTTTAAAAGTATAAGAAATAGAACGAGAAATCTAGTTCTAAATAAAAGAAAATGACTTTTCATAAACTCGATCATTACCTATTAATATTAAGAAGACAGTTTTAATTCATTAGAATAAATTAACTTAAACCATGGAATACAAACTGTAACAAAGAGCATCTTATGAGCAAAAACGGATGAGGTATCAAAGCACTGGAAATTGTTAATACATGAAGGATTCTTAGTGACACACAGATCGATAAAGGTCTGGGAATTAGAAAGCATAATTGTTGGACAAGAAGGCAGGTTAGAAAGATTGAATCCAGATTAGATATTATTCGGACTTTCACCTATGGGGCAACACTGCTTCAAGAACACGTGGCGAGAGACTTAAAAAAGTTAAGCGGGCAGAAAAAAAGTACGTTTGATCTTGTGCATTTAAATAAATAGTTGTACAAATCAGTAGTGCGTGGTTACTCAAATCACCTAAACTCCTACATACCCCGATGGTTGTCACTCCTCGATGTGCTGATCATAGTGTACATCAGGGAGTTCACCACCCCGTTATGTCGCTGGGTCGCTAGTACCCCGTCAAGCCAAATGCCCAAAAGATCGTCGCATCCCTACCAAAGGGGTTAGGCTCCGACGGGGGCTATCGACAGCTAAGATATTTCAGCCACAAATGCAGTCTATAATCTAGCCTAATACTGCTGAAATGGATAGATCAGTAGCACAAATAAATACATTCATACATTACTCTCATACTGATTAGTCGGTGGAGTACTGGATATTTTTCCATCGAATTCAGCATTAATAATCTAACATATATTAGGGTCGATGAGGTACTTTTATAAATATTCCGCCATCGACGCAAAGTACACACACTGCCTGAGTGCGATGGTGGCGCTGTATTTCACCATCACCCCTCACACTAATAAATACACGCATTCTAACAAAACATAACATTAAAATCCCTAGAATATAACTACATACAGTAGAGTATCCAACGTCCTCTAAAAAACCTAACAGGATGCTCAGAAACCTACTGCTTTGCTCGAGAACCATTCTCAAATCCGGCGGCATGCTTACACGCTTTCTATATGGAACCAAGGCATGAAACACCTTTATTATGTGGGACACATCGAACAACGGTGCATAAGTGGTATGCGTAGACTTTGGCCCAAAAAAAGGATAAGATACTATTGCATTGGATGAAGGGAATACTCAGGATGTACTCAATTACGCTTGTTATTTTTGTCCACTCGAATTATGACCTAGAATCAGAATTTTTTTTAACACAATCCCGATATTTTTACACCAGAATTTAATCATGCCAGTGAGCAAGTAAGGGTAAGTTATCCACCCTCTTTACTCGTAAGATCTGACTCACCCGATTATGATCGGCTCTCCTACCCTACAATCGTGAAGCAATTTGGCGCAATAACCTGTTTGCTATACGAGGCCAATTCGACAAATTGGTTCAATCCAATTGCTTGGCCAGTAATTTTTACTTCATGAAAAATCATTTGCTACGCTGATAATTCTTCTGATACAGAGGAGTCCGGGCGTGGTAGTTTGTACGAATCGCGCGTTCAGCATGCTACTTACGTGAAATGATAAAATAAGTTCTGTTTACTACATTTCATCGTTTATATTACAAAGGTCAAACTTTAACATTTGAGCAAAAATAGACAACACAAAAATCATAACTTTTTGTTAAAATTTTTGTTATTCAAATAGACTAAATGAAATAATTTTATTGTGTTTGTAATCTACAATAAGTATATTGTGTACTATCCATTATTGTACTTTAATTACATAAATTGCAGGTAGATGTTTGGTAAGAAAGATTTCATTGCATAGCACATAACGACAGATTAAAGAAAATCTTATTTTATAGAAGAAATGGACTGGGAGAAGGATATCATTGTAGCGAACCTAAAATGATGACGGAACAGAAAAATAGCAAAAAAGACAAAACGAGGAAAGAGAAAGGTTTAGAAGAATGAAGGATTGAGATAAAAATATGGAAGGGAGATAATAAAAGACTTTTATGAGGAAAAAGAAAGAGAGAAGGACGAAGAGAGGGAGTGAGAGAGAGAGAGGGAGGGAGAGAGTTAGAGAGAGAGTTAGAGAGAGTGAGGGAGAGAGAAGTAGACAGAGAGAGAATGAATAAATGAATGATTGATCGTTATTTAAAATTCTTGTAAATTTCGGTCGTGAACGACTTCTCCTACAATTAATGAATTAACGAGAAAAGAAAATGAAAAAGAAGGAGAGAGATAGAAGGAAGAAAAGAGAAAAAGAGAGAGAAAAGGAGAGAGAGAAGGTAACATAGTGAAAGAGGAAGAAAAACAGAGTGAGAAAGAGAGAAAAAAGGAGTGAGAGAGGGAGAAAAAATGTTTTTGTGTGAGAGAGTGTTTTAACAGTTTATTACAATTAAAAACACATTAATATTTAATAAACAAATTTCAAGATCTATCTATTTGATCAACCATTCTCTCGAAAAAAAGATTAATAACATTTTTTTTATGTACTGCTAATTGAAATCTATTAAAAATGGAATATACAAATATACAAATAATATGCTACACAAATGAAAAAATAATTTATCCTCTGCTATTCGGTAGTAAGTAAACGAACAGAATATTTTCACTGTTTTACAAATAAAAACCTTTTCCAATATTACAAGCATGATAAATATTGAAATTTGTGTACTTTGCACGCAGATTCAGTAAACCTAAAATAACTAAGTTTATTGAATTACAAAAATAATTGAATTATTTAAAAAGATAAAGGAAAATAAACAAAAAATAAGTTAATATACATTGTTTTCGTGTAAATGTAAATTTTAAATAATTCTATTGAAATATCGAAATTAATATTTAAAAAAGTAAAAGAAAAAAAAAGTTAATATACATTGTTTTCATGGAAATGTAAATTTTAACTAATTTTATTAAAATATCCAAAGTAATATTTAAAAAAGAAAAAGAACATAAAAAAATTAATATACGTTGTTTTCATGTAAATGTAAATTTTAACTAATTTTATTGAAATATCGAAAGTACTATTTAAAAAGGTAAAAGAAAATAAACAAAAAAATAGTTAATATACATTGTTTTCAAGTAAATGTAAATTTTAACTAATTTTATTGAAATATCGAAAGTACTATTTAAAAAGGTAAAGGAAAAAAACAAAAAAATTAGTTAATATACATTATTTTCATCTAAATGTAAATTGTATAAGTAATTATTATATAATATTGATTATTGATTTAGTTGGGTAAATATTGTTCAGAAAATGTTTTCTAAATAAACATATTTCTTACATGTTGCTTAGAGAAATAACCTTTGTTCTATTTGCATTTTTTAAAATCATAAATCAATATCGTAATGCACGATACATGAATATGTATAATAAGTTCATATATATAAATTTATATATATGTATATATGGAAAGATTTCTCCATAAGATATAGAAAGGTTGAGAACAAAGGAGTAACATATATGAGAAAAGCTCTTTAAAAGGTCATGAATTTATCAATCAAAATAGTCAAATTCGCTAATAGTTGTGACTTCGATCTCTTCGTAATAGCCATTTTCGTCTGGAAAAGCTTCTCGAATCTTTTTGACAACACAGGACGGCAGAGCGATTCCAATTCTCTTGGTTGGAGACCAAGAATTGACCCAGTTGACAAACTGTTTGTAAGCGAAGTGCCTCCAGACCCTGTTGTTCCTGTTTTCAATCATCGACTTGTATTTCTCCGAGTCCGTGGTGGTAACGGCGATGTGCCTCGCGGTGCTCAGTGTGTCTAGATTGGTCACAACGCACTGGAACGAATCGTGCAATGTTATGCAGTGGATCTCACCTCTCATGAAAGAAATCTCTCCGTTTCTTCGACAGCAGAATCGCCAAGGCGTGGGAAAACGCTCTTCGCACTCGAAACAACCACACCAGCTTGCAACATTACCATTTCTGTTCGCCATCGGTGTACCCAACGACAAATCACTTTCCACGTTATCCATTTTGCAGAGAAGAAGGTCTATCGTCTATTAAACGTGCAGAATTTTACGGAGGTATAATAACTTCAGAATAAACAGAACGAAGACGTACTGGATGTGATTGGGGTTTAAGAATTTATCCTGTTAGAAACAATTTATCAAATCACAACACCTTCTTAATTCTATTATCAACAACAAATATCTGCACTGAGGGTTTGTTTAATCTCTTCTTAAGTTCTGTAAGGCTTATATCTATCTAAAAGATATGATATAAATCTATGTTTCTGTAGGAAATCGCATGGTATATGAGAGGGAAAAATGTGGAAGGGAGAGAATAAAAGGCTTTTATGAGGGAAAAGAAAGAGAGAAGGAAGAAGAGAGAGAGAGAGAGAGAGAGAGAGAGAGAGAGAGAGAGAGAGAGAGAGAGAGAGAGAGAGAGAGAGAGAGCGAGAGAGCGGGCGGACGGGCGGACAGACAGAGTGACTGACAGACAGACAAAGAAAGGGAGGGAGACCCATTTTAATTTTTTTTTAAATTTCTATTTACCATTTTTTTAACTACTGAAGGAGATGGTATGAATTATAAGCAAGTAAAGTAAAATTCCTGTATATTTTCGATTTTTCTTTTTAATTTAAAATAATTTAGGCTTCTGAAGACCAAATTAAAACTAATTACAATTAAAATTACAAGTATAAATGTAAAAATAACCATTTCTTTTAATAATTCAAAATAAAAAAGGGTAATCTGAAAAAAAATTGAACTTAAAAATAATTAATTTAAAATAAAAAAAAGTTGTCCATAAAATAATTATTTTATATTTAAAAACAATCTCGAATTAATAGAAGAAACATTTGGTTCATATTTAACTTTATATAACTTTTAGTTTTAATTGCAATTAATTTTGTATTTTAAACAAAAACCAGTTTTGTATTTATTTTAAATTCTCAAATTAAAAGAAGAATATTTGATATTCAATTTGAAAATTCATTTTAATTTTAATCAATTTTATTGTAACATTTTATATAAAAACCCATTTTATGTTAAAATAATTAAAAGGAGAATCCTTTATTTAAATCAATTACTTAAATTTATGTTTTCATTTTAATTGTAATTAATTTTCACGTAGTTTTCTAAGAGCCCTAATTTCCATTTTTTTATATGAAAAAAATATCATTTTTTTTTAATCTACTCTTTTTAACTTCAAAATTAACCATTTGAAATTTCAATTTACCCTTTTTTAAAACATTAAAGCATTTAGGAGATACAACCATTTTTTAGTAATTCAAAAGATAAATTTTAATTTTCAAGTAGTTTACTAAGAGCCCTGAGGTCCATTTATTTTATATTAACATTTTTTTTTCAAATTTACTATTTTTAACTTCTAAATTAACCTTTTTAAATTTCAATTTACCCTTTTTTAAAACATTAAAAAATTTTAGGATACAAACATTTATTAGTAGTTCAAAAGAAAAAAAAGTGTACTTTGAAATTTAAAAAAGATAAAAATTTTATATAATTTTAAATTTTAATTGTAATTAACTTTTATATAGTTTTCTAAGAGCCCTGAGCTCCAATTATTTTATATTAAAAAAAATATTTTTTTCAAATTTACTCTTTTTAACATCAAAATTAACCTTTTTAAATTTCTATTTACCCTTTTTTTAAACATTAAAAATTTTAGGATACCAACATTTTTTTAGTAATTCAAAAGAAAAAAAAGTATTTGAAATTTTAGAGAACAATTCTATATAATTTTTAATTTTAATTGTAAAGAATTTTCATGTAGTTTTCTAAGAGCCCTAAGCTCCAATTATTTTATATTAAATTTTTTTTTCAAATTTATTTTTTTAAACTTCAAAATTAACTTTTTAAAATTTCAATTTACCCTTTTTTAAAACTAAAAATTTTTAGGAGATACAATTTTTTAGTAATTCAAAAGAAAAAAAAGTAATCTGAAATTTAAAAAGAGAACAATTCTGTATAATTTTTAATTTTAAGTGTAAATAATTTTCATGTAGTTTTCTAACAGCCCTAAGCTCCAATTATTTTATATTAAAATTTTTTTTTCAAATTTACTTTTTTAACTTCTAAATTAACCTTTTTAAATTTCAATTTACCCTTTTTTAAAACATTAAAAGTTTTTAGGAGATACAACAATTTTTTAATAATTTAAAAGAAAAAGAGTAATTTGAAATTTAAAAAAGGGTTAATTTGAAATAAAAAGCTCTCCATAAAATAATTATCCTATATTTAAAAACGATTAATTAATATTTATAATATTTAAAAACGAATTAATAGAATAATCATTTTGTCATATTTAACTTTAAATAACTTTTTATTATAATTTTAATTAATTTTGATGTGGTATTTTCGTATTTATTTTAAATTATCAAAGTAAAAGAAGAAGAATTTGTCTTGATGGTCAATTTGAAACTTATTTTAATAGTAATTTATTTTATTACGATACTTTACATAAAAACCATTTTATATATATTTTTAAATTAAAAGGAGAATACTTTATTTAAATTAATTTAATCGACTTAATTTTATATAATTGTTAATTTTAATTGTAATTAATTTTCGTATGGTTTTCTAAGATTCCTAAACCCCAATTGTTTTATATTAAAAAAAATTCAAATTTTCATTTTAAGCAAGAATATTACTTTACATGGTGATACATATTTCAAAACATCTTCACTTTTAATGTTTTAAAGAAAGGATTAATTTGAAATTTTAAAAATAGTTAATTTGAAGGTGAAAAGGTTTATTGGAGAGTTATAAGGTTTGTTTTAGGTTAAAAAGGGTTAAATTGGAATTTAAAAAATGTTAAATGGAGGTTAAAAATGGTTAATTTGACAGATATAAAAGCTGATGATATGAATTTGACAGTATAAAAATTATATGAACTGGCTATGGGTTTTGCATAAAAAAAATTTAGTTAAGTACAAGTTAGTCATGATCAGCACATTGTGATATGGAATTGTGCAGCTGATATTTTTAATCGGCTAGGATGAATTGAGAATACAACTTCAACATCGCAAACAGGTTTCTCAGCCAGACCGAACATCCTAATTGAAATGTGTGCGTGTCTCGTTTGTGAAGACGGCGAGCTGAAATTTCTGTAGGCTAAAGGTTAATGCTTTGACCGGCAACGAGGATCAATGGAAAAGGGTTAGGCTTTTGGAATAAGGGGAACTTCAGCAAGGAGGGTTGAACGAAGTCACGCACAGCAGGCGGACACCGTCGATACACAGCCGGTGTCAAGATATCGGACGGATTTTATTTTCTGTGGCTTTTTTGCCAGAGCTTCAGGTTTTAAAGCGGGTTGAAACGGAAGGATGGAACATATCGATTATTTGGAGATTTCAATGGACAGAAGGACACGAATGCGATGTTCAGTCTTTATGTGTTTATGTTAAAAATTATTACTTTATCAAAAACAAAACAATGCACAAAAAATACTCTTTAATTATAAAACAATTATTATAAATTTTGTATATATATATTTATTTTATTTATTGCTATCTGTACATAATACATAATAATTTATAAATTAAAAAATTATTTTTAAAATAAACCGAACATATTTTCCAATAATGTGCAAATTTTAATGACTGTATGAATATACGGGTGACATTTGTTTCACAAAATAATAATCTTTTTTATGATCCTCAGCGTTTTTATTTTTACAGTAGTAAGACCATAGGGATAGCCGGGAACGAAGCAGCAGACAGGGCGGCCAAAGAAGCAGCCAGAGGACCTCACGACGCTTCCCAACAAATACGCCCAGCGGATCTCAAGTTATTAATTTCAAATACAATGAAAGAAGAATGGAAAAACCGCTGGGCTCGGCAAATAGGAATAACCCTGCAAAACTGTGGCAGGTTAAGAAAGACATGGGTCCCTGGTTCACGGAAAATGGGTCAAAAAGGGAAAAGGTCATACAGACAAGATAGTATGCAAAGATAGAGTAACAGTCGAGCACCTTTTCAATTCTAGAAGGTTCGACGTTTATAGTCAATATTTTGGAATATCATCGGACCTGTGCGTAGTCTTGGGGCACGGCAGCGGTCAGAAATCGCTGTACCGGTACTCAGGGCTATAGGGATCTTCAAATGTATATAGTTTATGTGTGTTTGTGCTGTGCTTGTGTTGTGTCTGAAGTGTTTGTGTCGTGTTTATGTGGTGTTTATGTCAATACATTAGGATGAATGTAATTTATTTGCGTGAAAGGAAGGGGTTATTTACCCCGCCCCGAGGAATATCGGTATACTCTGGGGTGAGTGTGTGACGTCTGGAGAGTAAAAGTAAGTTATTAGCGCGAATGGAGTGGGTTCAAACCCCGCCACGGGGAGTATCGAGTACTCTGGGGTGAGTGTGTGACGTCTGGAGAGTAAAAGTAAGTTATTAGCGCGAATGGAGTGGGTTCAAACCTCGCCCCGAGGAATATCGAGTACTCTGGGGGAGTGAATGTGACCAGACTTCTATGTTTGTGGCGATATATATTCTATGTATTGTATGTTGTGTATCTATTCGTAAATTGACAATCTGAGGTACTAACAAGAGGCTAGCTTTTTAAAATAACTACGTAATATACAAGTAAAAGCAGAGAGTCAGTAACTAGATCGAGATGCTCAAATGGCTGCAGTTCAATACAAAGTACGCGAGAAAGACAGGAAAGAGAAGGCATACACGCGGAGGGCCGGCGATGACCTCAGCTGTTTGTCGGCCCATAAACCTTCCACTTTATATATATATATATATATATATATATATATATATATACACAGTAGTAACAATTATAAACTATATGTCTGCAACATGACTTATACTTTTTTTTAACGAGTGTTCGCAAAAGCAGAGGTTATATCAACCCTCGGGTTTCTGCGATGGCCCTTGAACATTTTTTTTTGAATGGCTCTGTCCATGCATTCCCATTGAACGGAGGATTTATTATTAATCCATTGTCTAATAGATCCGCGTTTTTGGCAGTTTGTTAAACCAAAAACGGGCTCATGCTCAATAGGTGTCCTTATTGAACTTTCCTTGGCCAATTTATCGGCTTCTTCGTTGCCCCTCTGCCCTGTGAGCCCTGGCACCCAGACAAGGGTAATTTTGTTAAGATGTAATATGAAGGCATAGAAGGGAATGGTCAGTCTGATCAACAAGCCAAAAAATAGGCAGCCCTCTCACCCAGGACCAATACTGGGCGTTCCGGAATGTGTGCTTAAGTTAGAACTGAAAATTGGCCTGCGAAAGAAAAACTCAAACACTGGACAAAAGAACCATGTATGAGGGGTGCTAAGAGATTTATAAATCTCTCAAAAAGGAACTCCTCTCTCTCTCAGCAGGCAGGTTTTGAAAAAATTAAGGCCTACATACCGGCCACTGCCCACTTAATTCATCTAAGAAGGTGGGCAGAGCATAGCCATGCCGATTCTGTCAGGAAGACCAGGGACATCGGCATAACCTTTGTGAATGTGAAGCATTATCCCGGTTACGGTACAGCCACTTCGGTAAGGTAATTCTGCACGAAGAGGCATCATAGAAAGTACTTAATCTTATAGTAAAAAATGCACTTTCCAAGATATGACTATAATTTATAGGGGTTCCACAATAGATTTAGGCAGCAGTCGGAAAGAATTTCTTATAATTCTCAATCAACACCATCCCAACTTTAAAACAATTATTGGCTGAAGTTGTTTTTTCCAGGAAAAGGTGTTGTTTTAGCTTGGTTGTTTCTGAAAGTAAAATGTAAGGTCGACTACTCCTTTCAAGACAAATGTAATTTTAAAAAGCAACCTCAAAGACCCATCCAGAAGTCGACAGCGATATGACAAACAAGACAATGAGGATGCGAAGATAAAGTGGTCAGAAACGAAACACCAGTTCATCACCCTTCAGAATTTAATTATGTTTATTGTGCAAAACCAAAGTTTAGATAATAAAACAATTGTATCATGTAATAAATAAATATCATGTAAAAAGGATTAAAACAATTGTTGTTAAGTAGATTTTATGAAGTATAGATATAATTGTCAAAACTTCTGGGAAGAACTTTTTTTCGGATTAATTAAGTGATTATTGTGTATTGCATAACAGAGTTAAGAATGTGAGTCATGTAAAACTAAGTTGACCTTATTTTCCAAGAACAAGGTTTTTGGGTTAAGTTTGAAATCTCAAAGGGAAAGCGGGTAGGCGGTGCAGGCGAACAAACATCTTCGGCTTGAAAAGCTGAAAACTGTATAAAGTAATGTTTCATGAAGAGTCAGAGGGAAAGAAGATATGATGAAAGGGAGATTTCGGTGGTTGGGGGTGAGAAAGGGGTAAGAAGGTTATCGTCTGAAAGGGGGGTGGGTCGAAGCATGCAAATGAAGGGTGGGGGCGGCAGTTGGCTCCGTGATGTTTCGTGCCAGTACCCCGTAGAACTTGGGCCAGGTGAGGGGATGGAGCAAGAAGCATGAGCACTCAGGGGAACGGCCGGAAAAGCGCCGGGAAGCCCCCTCCTGACGACAAGGCACCTCCTGCGACTACAGCCTCCAAAGACTCGGAAGGCTCGGAGAAAAAAGATGCCGGTGAGTTTTCACCTGCACCGATCAGTTTTCACACGAGAGATCTGTCATCGCACACATGAAGACAATGAAAGAAGTCCCCTGACTGCACAAATTCTCAGGGTTGATATTGGTCACCTAGTGCTTATCCACCTCATTTTAATTCCAAGCTAATACCTGATTTAACGCCGACATAGATTTCCCAGTGTAATTGCGATTTTCAAAGCGCACCACAACATGTTAAACCAACCACAACATGTTACTAATAAAATTTTATGAGTATTTAATGGCGCCTATATTTTTACTCATGATATTGAGAGTTTAACGGTCAAAGGAATATTTGACACAACAAAAACAAATTTCTTGTTCAACAAATTCTTTTAATGCTGCACATGCTTGGTATGTAGCAGGATAACAACGTGCTTTTTAATTTTTTGATGATGTCCATCCTGATTTTGTGAAACTCCATAGAATGATGGGTAGGAAATATTGTGGAAAAGACAATTTATTTTCCTACTAACTACTCAAAAAATAAGATAACCACACCAATACTCACTAAACAAGAAATGTTTATAAAAATCTCCTAAGAGATATAGAGCGTGTGTGTAAGATTTCTTAAGCAAAATTGCTTTTGCGAGACTTCTCCATGTAGTCTGCGAGGTGATCCTGAAATTTGGTCGTCACCGATCGTTTTGGTCTGTCAAACCTGTAGAGAAGGTTGTTCGATTTGTCCCACCTAATTGGACGCGACTCCAAGGTTCTATACAGAGAGCGTGTAGGGTTGTAACCCGATATGAGAATCATGCTTGAGCATGGCTGCGAGAATCTGAGTTCCTTGTTTAGATTTTAGAGGGTTGTTTTATTGAATATAGTACTTAGCAGTTTTGTGTACCTAGTGTGTGGAGAGTGAATGTATTTATTGACGTGAATGTGTAGTGTAGGTCTGATGGTGGAATATTGAGTACCCTATCGACCTTCAATTTTGTTAGTTATACAATAGGTGTAAAGGGTTATGGAGGAAATATCGTGTACTTGAGTGATTTGTGAATAGGAAAGAATGTATTTAAGAATGAGTGAGAGTGTGAATGGGTTTGGTTTTAGGAACTGCGTGCATTTGGGGCTGAATTGACCTAACTGTTGACAGCACCCAACCCGGTGGCTGGAAGGATAAGACCCAGGTCTGACCACGGACTGCCAACACCCTAGGTGATTTATTGTAAATTTTACAGAAGCCCTCCAAAATTTCCTACGGTCTACAAGAAGAGGTAGGCTCAACTCTCAACATGTGTGTATATATGTATAAACAGTGAGCTTATATAAATCAAGCAATTTACAAAAACCGAAAAAAAGAAATTGAGAAACTTCTTGAGTCAAGAACGTATGAATGTATAATTTCTTGTAATTGACTAAAGTTCTGAAATACTGCTATTAATTCTTAATCTTCATAAATATATTTAAGTACCCTGTTATAAGAAGATTGATAAGTTGTTATTTTTGGCTAATCAAGGCTATAGTTTATCCTTGTGCCATGTAAGTTTAAGGATTTATGAAATAATTTATAGTTAAACTACAAACATATGAGGATTTTAAAAAAATTACATTTAAATTTTTAATTAAATTAAATTAAATTTAGTTTTGTCGATAGTGCCAGTTATGTCATAATATAAATTAAAATCCGCTGCCTATACAAAATACATATGAAGTTTTGAATGGGAATAAACGAAGTACAAAAAAATTTAAAAATTGAACTCCTTCGACAGTAAATTTTGTTGTATACTCCTGGTTATTTAATTTTTTTTTTACTTGACAATTTTGATTCATTAGGTTGCGTAATATTTTCTTAATGATTCCTCCCCACACTTTAATCACATTGGGTTGGGGTTTTTGTTTTGAACTTTTTTAAATTTTTGTTTTGCAATTTTATGTTTTGAGGTAACGACTGTATTTCGAACTAAAAAATTCATTAAAAAAATATTTTTGTTTATTAAACTAAAAATCTTTCGCAAAGAATGAAACTGGTACAATGGAATTGGAAACTATGCAAATCTTTCAAGTGCTTTTTTTTGTTTTGTTTTGCAATTTTATATTTTGAGGTAACGACGATATTTCGAACTAAAAAATTCATTTTTGAAAATTATTTTTGTTTAATAAACTAAAAACTATTTACACAGAATGAAACTAGTCCAACGAGATTGGAAACTGTTCAAATCCTTCAAGTGAGTTTTTTGTTGTTTTTGTTTTGCAATTTTATGTTTTGAAGTAATGACCGCATTTCGAACTAAAAAATTCTTTTTTAAAATATATTTTTGTTTATTAAGCTAAAAACCTTTTGCACAGAATGAAACTAATCCAATGAGATTTGAAACTATACAAATCCTTCAAGTGTTTTGTTTTTTGTTTTGCAATTTTATGTTTTGAGGTAATGACCGTATTTTGAACTAAATTGTTCATTTAAATTTTCGTTTTGTTTATTAAACTAAAAATCTTTTGCAAATAATGAAACTAGTCTAACGAGATTGGAAACTATGCAAATCCTTCGTTTTTTTTTTTTTCAATTTTATGTTTTGAAGTAACGACCGTATTTCGAACTAAAAAATTCATTTTTGAAAATTATTTTTGTTTATTAACTAAAAACCTTTTGCAAAGAATGAAACTAGTCCAATGAAATTGGGAATTATGCAAATCTTTCGAGTTTTGTTTGTTTTGTGCAATTTTATGTTTTGAGGAAACGACCCTAGTTTAAACTAAAAAATTCATTAAAAAAAGATTTTTGTTTTTAAATTACAAACTTTTTGCACAGAATGAAATTGGTTCAATGAGATTGAAAACTGTGTAAATCATTCAAGTGTTTTTTTTTAATGTTGCGAATCAAGTATTCCGTGATGAACTTAAGCGCTTCAAAAATCCTCGACTTTTATGTAAATTCTGAGTCAAAAAATCTTTTCAAGTAAAACTATATAAAATTCGAAATTAGTTCGTGTATTTTCTCCACCTTTCGGTATAATTTTTACTACCCTTTAAAAATTAAAAGGGTAAAACCATCCTCTGCTTACATATATCGAGCTTTTCGGTACTCATAGGTGGGTTCTGGGTCAAAAGTAATTGTCAGTGAGGCAACCGAGAATGGTCTATGTAGTCATAGTCGGATAACTACGATCCCTTTTCTAACATTCAGATCCTCAGGGGGTCACTTGAAGACCATGCTCTTGATACATTAGCGTGCCAATCATGAGCCATAACATTAACATTCATTTCGTTGATAAATATAAATAAATTAATTTTTCTACGAAAAAATCTAGTTTATAATTCATTATTTTATTTTACGCGATAATGATTAAAGTAAAACTGAACTAATTTATCATTTTCAACGTCTAAAATGTGAAAAATAGTATAATTTACAATAGTATTTATTTTAAGATTATTAATATTATTCGGAGATCGTGAGATGCGGTCTGGTATGAAGTAGGTTTTAGAAAAACATTTTTTTATCATGCCAACGTTTCGATCTTGATTGAGATCATCTTCAGGGCTCAAAGTGTTTGTTTTCTGCGTAATTGTGTCATTCTTGTGTGTCGTGTTGAGAGTGCAACAACTTTGAGCCCTGAAGATCTCAATAAAGATCGAAACGTTGGCATGATAAAGAAAATGTTTTTCTAAAGCCTACATCACACCAGACTGCATCTCACGATCTCCGAATAATCACTGATTAACGTTCACGTACCACCACGCATTATTTATATTAAGAATTTCGTTGTTTCTCAACCACCGACGTTCAAAAGTCCAAGCTCCCTCCTCAAAGAGACCAAAATTCCCCACTCGATCAAAAACATCATACTCCCTCCTACGAGAGCTTTGTTTTCCATCGAGGCTTGTAAGTATTAAAATCTCTTTTCGTCAATGCGAAACGGCAGGTGATGAACTATGGACCGTTACAGTTATAAAAGAAGTAAGTGGTACAATCTACAGTGTGTAGTTTCGTTAGTCTTAAAACTCGGATGTTGGATTAAGATCTGATTGCTTTTTTCAACGTAATATTTTTAAAAGTTGCAGGGGTGACAAGTATGAAATTGACCAAGAAGGCTAATTTTTTGGTGAATCTGTCTGCAAATAAAACAAAAAATAGGACAGTTGCATATTTGATATCAAATATTTCATGGAATTCTTCTGAAGCATAAAAAAGATACTCAAAACAAAAAATACGACACAGTTGTTGTATATTTTATATAAAATATTTCATGGAATTCTTCTGAAGCATAGAAAAGATACTCAAAACAAAAAATACGACACATTATATATTTTATATAAAATATTTCACAGAATTCTTCTGAAGCATAAAAAAGATACTAAAAAAAATAAAACAACAAATACGACACATTTGTATATTTTATATAAAATATTTCACAGAATTCTTCTGAAGCATAAAAAGATACTCAAAACATTGAAATATTTTTTGTACGAAAATTCTATTGAATTAAAATATTTCCTGCGAAACAGTAATTAATTTATGATTGGGATCTTAACAATTACATTCTTAAACCAAAGACGTCAGCGTTATCGCGTTTGAATGTAAAAAAAAGTATACATTTCACTAACATTATACAAAGCTGTTTACATGAATATTAATAACTAAAGATGATAAAGGAATTGTCATGCAATTAATTCTCCTCGGTGGTGCAAGTGGGAAAAACACATGCAATCAGATGAAGCCATTAGTAATAACTAAAAGCGTGAGGGCTTCTTACTTTTGTAACGAACTTTTGAAAAGTTTCTTCCGTGGCAACACTTTCAAGGCATTGGGTCTGTAATGACCACTTAATCTCAAGAATAAAGACTCTACTGGCAAACAGCGATTTTTTTTGTAAGATCATCGTTCACATGAGTTAAACAAAAGTTATTGTTTATTTTAATGAAATCAAAATCGAGAAATATTTTAAAAAAGAAAACCACTTAGAATATTAAATAATAGTTCAGCCTTGACTGTATGGTGATAATACAGGAGTGATCATTAGTAGCCTTATCGGGAA